TTTACTGAGTAATTTACTAAGTAATTGACTAAGAATTTTTTAAGAACTTATCGATAATTAACCGAGTAATTTACAGAGAATTTATTGAGAATTTACCCAGTAATTCACTGGGAATTTACTTAGTAATTTACAGATAAATTTAGTGAGTAATTCACCGAATAATTTACTATGAATTTACTTAGTAATTTATTTAAAATTTACTTAGTAAATTACTAAGAGTTTATTGAGAATTTACTGAAAATTTGTTGAGTAATTTTCTAGGAACTTACCAATCATTTATGAAGCAATTTACAGAGTAATTTGCTTAGTAATTTACTCTTAATTTATTGAGAATTTTCTTAGAATTTATTGAGTAATTCGCCGATAATTAACTGAGTAATTTATAGAGAATTTATTGAAGATTTAACGGATAATTTATTGAGAATTTACAGAGTAATTTTCTGAGCAATGTTTTAAAAAATTTCTGTGATTTATTGAGTAATTTACCAAGAATTTGTACAAAATTTTCTAAGAATTTACTCATAATTTATTGAGTAATTCACAAAAAAATTGCTAATGATTTTCTAAGAATTTACACAGAATTTTCTAATAATTTACTAAGAATTTACTGAATAATTTTTTGAGAATTTTGCGTGTAATTTAATGAGAATTTACTAAGTAATTTACTAAGAATCTACCGATAATTTACTTTGTAATTTATTGAGAATTTATCGCGAATTGACTAAGAAATTTACAGATAAATTGTTAAGTTCTTCACTGGGTAATTTAGTTGGAAATTACTAAATAATTTAATTAGAGTTTACTGAGTAAGTTATTAAGAATTTATTGATAATTTACTTAGACTTTATGGATTAATTTATTGAGAATTTAATAAGTAATTTACTTTGAATTTATTGAATAATTTACTGAGAATTTATAATGCAATTTACCAAAAATTTACAGGAAATTCACTAATTAATGTTCGAATAATTTACTGAAAATTAACAAAGTAATTCACGAATTTTTTTTTGATAATTTTTATGAGTAATTTACCAAGAATTTATACATAATTTATTGAGAACTTTCATAGAATTTATTGAAAATTTCCCGAGCAATTTATTTACAATTTATTAACTTTTTTGATAATTTTATGAGTAATTTACCAGGAATTTATACATAATTTATTGAGAATTTTCTTAGAATTTATTGAAAATTTCCCGAGCAATTTATTTACAATTTATTAAACAATTTACAGAGAATTTACCAATAATTTACTGAGTAATTTACAGAGAATTTATCGAGTAATTTACTGATAAATTACTGAATAATTCACTCATTAATTTACTTGTAATTTACTGAGAATTTAAGGAGTAATTTACTGAGAAATTTCCTGAGTAATTTAGAAAGAATTTACTAAGTAATTTACTAAGTAATTGACTAAGAATTTTTTAAGAACTTATCGATAATTAACTGAGTAATTTACAGAGAATTTACAGGAAATTCACTAATTAATGTTCGAATAATTTACTGAGAATTAACAAAGTAATTCACCAATTTTTTTTTGATAATTTTATGAGCAATACACAAAAAAAAAAATTCTTGTAATTTTTTGTGAATTTACTCAGAATTTTCTGATAAATTACTAAGAATTTGCTGAATAATTTATAGAGAATTTTACGTGTAATTTAATGAGAAATATCCTAAGTAATTTAGTGAGAATTTACCAATAATTTACTGAGTAATTTACAGAGAACTTATCGAGTAATTTACTGATAAATTACTGAATAACTCACTCATTAATTTACTGAGAATTTAAGGAGTAATTTATTGAGAATTTACTCAGTAATTTAGTTAGAATTTATTAAATAATTACTAAGAATTTACAGATAATTTACTGCGTTATTTTCTTAGAATTTACAGAGTAATTTACCAATAATTTACTGAGTAATTGACTAAGCAATTGACTCAGAATTTTTTGAGAACTTATCGATAATTAA